TGGTCTCGATCTCTTGACCTCGTGATCCACCTGCCTCAGCCTCCCAAAATGCTGGGATTACAGGCGTGAGCCACCACACCCGACCAGTGGTGTCTTGTTTTAATGCGCAGTTCCCTAATGACATTCGACGAACATCTTTTCCTATGCTTATTTGCCATCTATATTAGGGTTCTCCAGGGGGCCAGAACTAACAGGATATATGTATATATTGAAAGGGACTTCATTAGGGAGAATTGGCTCACACGGTCATCAGGCGAAGTCCCACCACAGGCCGTCTACAAGCTGAGGAAGGAAGAAGCCAGCATGTCTCCAAGTCCGAAAGCCTCAAAAGTTGGGAAGCCAATGGCCAGCCTTCAGTCTGTGGCAGAAGGCCCAAGAGTCCCCAACAAACCACAGGGAGAAGTTCAGGAGTCCAAAGGCCAAAGAACCTGGAGTCTAATGTCCAGGGACAGGAAGCATCCACCACAGGAGAAAATGAAAGCCAGACGACTCAGCAAGCCAGCCCCTCCCACCTTCTGCCTGTTTTGTTCTAGCCACGCTGGCAGCCAACTGGATGGTGTCCACCCACACTGAGAGTGGGTCTTCCTCTCCCACTCCACTGACTCAAATGTCAGTCTCCGCTGGCAACACCTCACAGACACACCCAGAAACAGTCCTTTTTTTTTTTTTAAGACAAAGTCTCGCTCTATCACCCCGGCTGGAGTGCACTGGCACCATCTCAGCTCACTGCAACATCCGCTTCCCGGGTTCAAGCAATTCTTCTGCCTCAGCCTCCTGAGTAGCTGGGACTACACGTGCCAGCAGGTTCGGCTAATTTTTGTGTTTTTAGTAGAGACGGAGTTTCACCATATTGGCCAGGCTGGTCTCAAATTCCTGCCCACCTCGGCCTCCCGCAGTGCTGGGATTACAGGTGTGAGCCACCATGCCCGGCCTCTTTTCCTGTTTTTTAATCAGATTGTTTTCCTGTTAACTGAGTTTTCAGAGCCCTTTGTATATCTTGGATAACAGTCTTTAATGAGATAAGTCTCTTGCAAATAGTTTATCCCAGGCCGCAGCTTGTTTTCTCATCATATTAAAAATGTTTTTCAAAGAGCAGAGGGTTTTTTTATTATTATTTTAATAAAGTCCAGCTTGTAAGTTTCTTTCATGGAGCACGCCTTTAATGTATCAAAAAATTTATCATGGCCGGATACAGTGGCTCACAG